GAGGACGTGGACGAGGAGGAGGAGGAGGCGGAGGAGGAGGAGGAGAGGGAAGACGAGGTGAGACGAGGAGTAGGACGACAGAGTACACAGGCATACGGAGGAGTACGCGGAGCAGGAGTATGAGCGACGGCCGCCTTCTGTCACAGGAGTTTGGCGAATAGTTATGTCAGGAGGATGGTAGGGAGGATGTAGGATTGATGATGGAGGAGTGGGGAAGAGGAAGGAGGACGAAAAATAAGGTAGAAGGATGAGTGAGGATGGAGGAGGGGAGAGGAGGCGAAGGAGGAGGTGGAGGAGGAGGAGAAGTAGGATGAGGATGGGAGACGAATAATGGAGGATGGGGCATCGAGGATGGGGGGGAGGGAGCTTGGGAGGGCGGAGGCCCGCCGCCGCAGGATGCCTGATTGTGGCGACGAGTACGCCCCGTCGCCCTTCGATAGCATGATGCTCAGGCCGAGTTGGGTGAAAAGGGGGGACTACTAAGGGATCGGGCGACAAGATCTGCATACATCCACCGCCCCTGGCTGGGCTCATCCTGGACCCATGGTCGGTGTGTGTGTGTGTGTGTGTGTGTGTGTGTGTGTGTGTGTGTGTGTTGGTGTCTGTATACATAAGTATGTGTGTGTATGTGTGTATGTGTACGTGGATGCATGTAGGTGTAGGTGTAGGTGTATGTGTATGTGTATGTGTATGTGTAGTGTGTATGTGTATGCGTGTATGTATGCATGTATGTATGTATATATGCATGTATGTAGGTATATTTCTATGTATGTATGCATGTATGTATGTACATATGTATGTGTGTACGCATGTATGTATGTATGTATGCATGCATGTATGTATGTACGTATGTATGTAGGTATGTAGGTATGTAGGTAGGTGAGTCGGTAGGCATGCATGTAGGTACGTAGGTATGTAGGTCTGTAGGTATGTAGGTATGTAGTTCTGGAGGCATACCAGCACGCATGTATGCATGCATGCGTGTATATAGGTACGCAGGTGTGTATGTATGTATGTATCTATGTATCTATGTATCTATGTATGTATGTATGCATGTATGTATGTATGTATGTATGTATGTATGTATGTAGGTATGTAGGTGCGTCTACATTGATGCATACGGGTATGTGTGTGCAAACATGTGTGTTGTGTGTATGTGTGCATGCATGTACGCATCTTTGTATGAGTGTATGCATTCACGCATGCGTGTATTGATGCTTGTATGTCTATAACATGTATATGTATATGTACTTAGTTATGTATACGTGTACGTACGTATGTATGTATGTATGTATGTATATACCCATACGGAAAGCGCTCTCGGAAAGCGCAGCCTGATCGGCTGCCGGTCTACCCATCGATCGAGGTGGTCCGAGCGCCGCCTGATCGCCCGTGCCCGCAGGGCGCACGAGCGGGCATGGACAGTGTCAGATCCATCTGCCGCGGACGATCGAGGCGCCCGTCGGGGCCTCTGTCGCCCCTGAGGACGTCAGGGCGAAGATGGCGACGTTCGATGATACATCGAAATGCTGAGCCTCATGCGGTCGCGGGCGACGCGGGCGTGAGCCCGGCGCCATTGCTCTGATGCGGCGCGGGTTGGGCGGAGGGAAAGGTGGGGGCGGGGGCGGGGGCACGGGCGTGTAGAAGGGGAGGGGCGCGGAGATTCGCATTTCAATTTCATGGCCAACGCCTGGCATTGGGGGCGGGGTTAGTAGCCAGCAGTCACGGCGCCCCGCGCCGATCACGCGCGGCGTGCTGAAAAGGCTTCGCCCAATCGTCATCTCCGCAGTCTTCGCTGCCGCCGTCGCCATTGCCATCGCCGTCATCGCCTTCTAGTCACCCGCTGCTGCTGCCAGGGTCATCGCCGATTGGGGCCAGGGCGTCTGGAAGGAGGGGCCTGGACGGGCGTCTTCGGCATCGGGTCCCATCGCCGACCTGTCGGCGATGCGTCGCGGAGCCCGCTTCGTCTTCCGTGGGTCCAGGAGGCAGTTTTGCAGGTCGAGCAACTAGCTTTCGTTGGTGCACTGCTATCCATGTGTCGGGGCGCCCGATCTATGCCAGACGTGCGCGCTGCGCGTGAATGGTCGAGCGCATTAGCGCGCCTGGGGGCAAGGCGCGCCTGCCCGCCCCTGGCTGGGGTCGTCGGCCAGTGCCGCGCCATGGCGACTTTGCGCGGCTTCCCCGCGCCTGAGCGGGGCAAGGCGCGCGCCGTCCTGGAGGCGGGGAGACCGGCGGAAAGCCCCGAAGCACGCGGGGAAGACGTTGGCGAAGAGGCCAGCGTCGAACCAGCGTGCGACGGTGGCGCCCTGCGTGCGGCGCCGCGAGAGAACTTGCGCATCCAGGCTGGAGCGCGCTGCTTTCAAAAGGAACGTGTTCGATTTCATTCGCGCCAGTGACCGCGAGATCGTCGACGTGTTGCTTGAGGGCCAGGTCTTGGAGAAGTTGGAAGGCCAGACGTGCTCCTCCTGCGTGGCAGGAATCCTCGGCCCCCTGGAGGACGTCCAGGGCCGTGGGCCTCGGTGCCGCTGCAGCCGCAAGGCCCGCCGCAAGTTCCCCTTGCCCCAGGGCGGGCGCGTGGTCTTCAGCGGCGGCTCTGGCGCCGCCGCGGTGCCCTTGCAGGAACAGTCCGCCGTGCTGTTCGCCGTCGTGAACACCGTGCCCCTCGGCAAGATCCACGCGCTCGCGGGCAAGAACCACAGGGCGATCGAGAGCGTGAGCAAGTTCAATGATGCGCGCCGAAAGAATGACGTGCTGCAGCAGGGGGAGCTGGCTACCTTTGGAGGAAAGGGGCGGACGTGGAAAGATGTCGAGGCCGGTGAGGTCGGCCTCAGGGGCGAGCTACTTGCTGGCCACGCGGGGCGAGCTGAGAACGAGCGGGTCCAGTGGGGGCAGCGTGGCGGTGTCATCGAAAGAGGCAACTGGGAGACATTGGTTCTGACGCGCCTCATGCCGAGTCTCACCGAGCAGAGGGCGCCAGGCCCAGGGGCGATGCGCTTGTCTGATTGGGCGCCGTTTGCTCGCAAGAACTTGAGCAGCGGGGGCGTTGTGCTCCACGCGGACGGGGCGCAAACGTACGAGGTCAAGGTCGAAGGGGTGCCCCGCGACCAAGTCGTGCACCAGAGGAAGCGGCTCGCGGGGAATGGCGAGCCCGTGAAGAAGAATGGCCGCCAGGCGTGGGTGAAACCCACGCGCGCCAAGACGTTTCAACGTGACTTTCCTGGCGGACGAGTCCTCAAGTGCAAGGGCGGGGCCCAGGTCATCGACAGGTTTTGGCAGCGCTTGGGCGGCTTCGCCAAGACCAGGAAGAGCCCGGTGGGCTCGATGTCGTTGAACGCCAGGGTCCGATCCGCCCAGTGGGCGTACTGGCGCGCCAGCGAGGACCTGTGGCTGGATTCTGGCAAGATGTTCGGCCGCCCGAGGGGGAATGACACCGCGTGGTGGTGGTTGCGTGTTGACTGCAGGCGTTGGGGCGCGCGGCAGGGCGCTTATGAGAAGGCGATGTCGCGCGCGCGACCACGCGCGCATTGCTCGACAGAAATTTCGGAGCTCGCGAAACCTGGCCAGGCGTTTCTCTTGTCTCGGCGCCTAGGGAGCTTTGCGAGGCGCGTTGTGTGGTTTTCTATAGTCTGGTGGCATTGGCATGCTTGTTTTTTGGTATTCGAGCCAGCAAGACCTCGCCAGGCGTTTTTCCTTCTTCTTCTCCTTCTTATCCTTTCCTCTGGTCTGGGGGTTCAGGGAACCTGGCCAGGCGTTGGTGCTTCTTGGCGTTCTGGTCTGGGGTGTGAGAAAACCTGGCCAGGCGTTGTTGTTTCTCCTTTTTTTGTGGTCTGGGATCTCAGAAAACTTGGCCAGGCGTTCGCTTGTTTTTATGTTTCCTGCTGGTCTGGGGGCTCAGGAAACCAGGTCGGGCATGTGTGTGTGTGCTTGTGTTTGTGTTTGTGTTTGTGTGTGTGAGTGTGCGTGTGTTTTTGTTTTTATATATATATATAAGAATAATATATATATATGTGATATTTTTAATATTTTAAACGATATTAAAAAATCATGGAGCTCGTGGAACCTGGGGCGGTGATTGTGACTTGTACCTCGTCGCCGCCTGGCCGGGCGTTGGTGTTTCTTCTTGTCCTGGTATGGGATATCAGAAAACATGGCCAGGTTCTTTGGTTATATGTATGTGTGTATCTGTATATGTATGTGTGTATATGCATATATATATATATATATATATGTGTATATATGTGTGCGTGTGTGTGTGTGTGCGCGGCCTGGGAGCTCCGGGCGCTATATATATATATATATATATATATATATATATATATATAATTTGGGGGGGGGGGGGTTCTGGTCTGGGGGCTCGCGACGCGCGGCGTGGTGCTCGTGCGGCTTGTACCTTGAACCAGATTCGAAAAAAAAACCATAACAACTATTGGCATCGCCGGTTTCCTGAGTTCCCAGACCAGAAACATTGGGAGAACCAGTGAAACCATAGGCTTTCCTTCCTCCCATACAAGGAACATGAACCAATGAGATCGCATGTTTCCTTCCCGCGAACCAGAAAACCCAGGAAACTAATGGCGTCGCAAGTGGTCCTTCCTCCCAGGCCAGATCAGCGGGAAAAAACGATGCAATCGCGTGTTCTCCTTCCACCCAGACCTTTAGCAGAGTTTTCGTTGCGTGTCTGCAATGGCAGTTCGCTCGTTTCTGCGCGGCGTTGCGCCGGCGAGGAAGGGGCGGGGGGGGGGCGAGGACAGACGGGCAACTTGAATGTTCACGTCAGAACCCACCAAAAGGTGGATCTTGGGGGGCGCGACCGTGTAGCTCACGCCCCCCTCCAAGATCCACCTTTTCCGTGTCCTGTTCCAGTCGCCCCCTTCTCCTCCTATTCTTCCCCCCTCCTCCTTTCTTCTTCGTTCTCTTCCTTCCCCTTCCGTTGCCCCCCTCCTCATCGTTCCCACTTGCGTCGTTTGCCCGCGGCGTCGCCTCCCACTTGTGGAGCGCAGATGATGCGCGTCTACTGCGCGGAGTACTCGAAGTTACCGGCGCCCCCGAACTACAGCTGACGGAGGAGAAGGGGGGGCGCGGCGCTCCAGATCACCTAGGGGCGAAATGCCCGGGCCAGATGCGGGGCGAAATGCTCCAGGGGGGGCGGGGTGCTCCAGATCGTGCAGGGGCGGCGAGCTCCAGTCAGAGACGGGGCGAAATGCTCCGAGGCGCGCAATGCTCCAGATCGCGTATGGGCGAAGTGCCCCAGATCACGCGGGGGCGAAACGCCCCCGCCAGATGCGGGGCGCAATGCTCCAGGGGGCGTAAAGCCCGCGCCAGTCGGAGGCGAAGCAATCCCAGGCCAACGAGAGACGACGTGCTCCAGGGGGGCGCAGCGCGAATGTCTGATCCTTAGCCTGGCCCTCCTCCGTTTCCGCGGTTTGCCCAGTTGTGACCAATTCTGGACCGAGCCTGCCTCGGCGCAGAACTCGCGGCGCAGCTTCCGCGCGCCCGCGCGGCAGCAATGCCGATGATGCCCCGCCTCGCCTCCTCGCGCGCCGCCGATGCGCAGCGCCCTTTCCTCGACGAGCCCAGCGCCGACATGGCGGCGGCGGCTGCTCAGTGGGGCGTGGTGCGCGACGAGGTAAGCGGTGTCGCGCTGTGTTTCAACCCGGAGCGCCTCTCCTGGGACCTCCTCCCGAACTGTCTCCGCTTCTCGCTCCGCGAGCGGTTCCATTGGGCCTGCGACAAGCAGGAGTTCGACGCCCAGGTGATCCGCGAGATCGGCGGGGGCGCGCGGGGCATGGCCGCGGGCGCTCCTGCGCCGTGGGCAGCGAGGCCCCTGCAAACCGAAACAATAGCACGCGCGCACCAAACGCTAAGCGACAGACATGATAGAGAGCTACGAGCTCACTAAAGCAGCCGTGCTTGATGACAAAAAAGACATTGTTGCCGCCCGCCGCGTTTTTCTGGCCGCGACGCTTTGGATTCGGCACGTCGGCCACTGCCGCAACCGACGCGCGCGCCCCCGCCGCTGGAGACCTGGGCGGGGGCAGCGAACTCACTAAAGCAGCCGTGCTTGATGATGAGAAACATATCGTTACTGCTTTCCGTGTTTTTATGGCCGCGAGACCGTGGATTCTTTCGGCAGAAGAGGCCACCGCCGCAACCGACGCGTGCGTCCCGACCGCCAGGGGCCCGAACGAGAGCCAGGAGCTCAATGATGCAGCCGTTCTAGATGAACGAACAAATCGTTAACGCCCTCCGTGTTTGTCTGGCCTTGGGGCCCTGGATTCCCGACGCAAGCGGATCGCTGTCGCAGCCGACGCGTGCCTCCCGACCGCCAGGGGCCCGAACGAGAGCCGCGAGCTCAATGATGCAGCCGTCCTTGATGGGAAGGACACATCGTTGCCGCTCTTCCTGTTGTTCTGTCCGCGATACCTTGGGTTCCTTGCGCAAAACGGGCCGCTGCCGTAACCGACGCGCGCGTCCGCGTCGCCGGAGGCCCGAACGAAAGCCGCGAACTCAATGAAGCAGCCGAGCTTGATGGGAAAACGCATCGTTACTGCCCTCCGTGGTTTTATGGTCACGATGTTGGATTTGGGGCAGCCGTGCTTAGCAAAAACGCATCGTTACCGCCCTCCTTTTTTTCTGGCTTCGCTGCTTCGGGTTCCTCGCGCAGAGCGGGCCGCTGCCGTGGCCGACGCGCGCGTTTCGACCGCCGGGGGCCCGAGCGAGGGCCGCGAACTCAATGGGGCAGCCGTGCTTGATGAAACGACGTATCGTGGCCGCCCCCCGTGGTTTTCTGGCCGGAAGGTGCGGGGTTCTTTCAGCGAATGGGCAACTGCCGCAACAAGCGCGCGGCTCGACCGCCAGGGGCCTCCTGCAAACGAAAACAACGCGCGCGCACACCAAAACGCTCAACGAGAAAGTACTCACGAACCACAACCGCATCCGCTGCGAGGCTCTTGCATCTCGCCATCCAGACCACTGCGCTGCGCAGCTCCACCGCGGTCGGCTTCTTCTCGGTTGTTGGCGCCAAGATGTCCTACTGCCACATTGGGGGCGTATCCATCCAAGCGTGGCGCAAGTCGGCGCTCGCGGGAAGCTGCGCGCGCTCCTTCATCGCCGGGGGCCGCCGCGTCCGCATCGCCGCGGAGTCAGGCGAGGTGATGGGCCCGACGCAGATGTGATTTTACCCTGGCGTGAACGGGGCTGGCCGAGATCTGGAGCGCTCCGTGGCTCAGGCCGACTACGGCGTCGCCCAATTGAGCCCGCGTGACACCATTATATGCTGTTCCGACGGCGTCGCTGAGAACGCCCCGTGCGATGCCGTGAAATCCGTGCTCGCGTGGGCAGATTCCGACGCGCAGGCCGCGGCCGAGCGCGTGATCGAGTGCGCGAAGAGGCGGGGCGCGCCCGAGCCCGACGACGCCCCGACCGTAATCGGCGTCGTCGGGGCTGCGTGAGAGGGCGAATGCCATTGAGAATGCCTTCCTCACCCTCCTTGTCTTGCACCCCCCCCGCCGCCCTCGCCTCCGCCTCGCTCTCGCCCTCGTCGTCGTCCTCCCCTTCCCCCTCCTCCTCGCCCTCCTCGCCCCCCCCTCTTCCGCTTCCGCGCCTTCCTGTCCTTCCGCCTTGGGGAACAGGGGCCAATGCCGCGAACCGCGCGTGCATCTCGACCGCCGAGGGCCCGAACGAGAGCCAGGAGCTCAATGAAGCAGCCGTGCTTGATGAACAACCCCCTCGTTGCCGCCCTCCGTGTTTTTCTGGCCGCGACACCTCGGATTCACTCGGCGAAAAGTCCACTGCCGCAACCGACGCGTGCTTCCTGATCGCCGGGGGCCCGAGCGAGAGCCGCGAGCTCAATGAAGCAGCCGTGCTTGATGAAAAAAAGAAACTTCGTTGCCGCTCTCCTCGTTGTTCTGGCCGCGATGCCTTGGATTCCCCGCGCAGGGCGGACCGCTGTCGCGACGGGCGCGCGCGCCCCACCGCCAGAGGCCCGAACGAGAGCCGCGAGCTCAATGAAGCAGCCGTGCTTGATGGAAAAAACACACACACACACATCGTTACCGCCCTCCGTGTTGTCCTGGCCGCCATGCTTTGGCTTCCCCGCGCAGAACGGGCCGCTGCCGCAACCGACGCGCGCGTCCCCGCCGCCGAGAGCCACGAATTCAAAGAAACAGCCGTGCTTGATGACAAATGCACATCGTTGCCGCCCTTCTTGTTGTTCTGGCCGCGACATCTTGGATTCCTTACGCAGGCGGACCGCCGCCGCAACCGACGCGCGCATCCCGACCGCCAGAGGCCCGAACGAGAGCCACGTGTTCGATCAAGCAGCCGTGCTTGATGGAAAACACATCGTTACCGCCCTCCGTGTTTTTCTGGCCGCGACACCTGGGGTCCCTTCGGCCAATGGGCCGCCGCCGCAACTGGCGCGTGCACCTCGACCGCCAGAACTCCGAACGAGAGCCGCGAGCTCAATGAAGCAGCCGTGCTAGATGAACACATCATGCAGTGTTACCGCCCTCCGTGCTGTTCTGGCCGCGACGCTTTTGATTCCTCGAGCGAATCGGCCACCGCCGCAACTGGCGTTTTTTTCTGACCGTCTGAGGTCCAGAAGAGCCCCGCCGGCGAAAGCGAACAGCGCCGGACGCGCTGCGAGATGCTGGGCTCCGACAGACGTGCCATGTTGGCTCGGGGCGCCCGCCGTTCTCGCGGGCAACAGGCTCGCTGACGTTGGCGCTCTCCCCTGCAAGGCTGCCATGCGATGGCCGCCCGCGGCGTTGTCGCCGAGGCTGCCGACGTGCACGCCCAAGGCGCGAAGTCGCTCGGCGTCCACGAGTGCGCCGAGGGCATGGCGAACGACGTGTTCGTTGCTGCGTGGGATAACGCGAAGAGCATGAAAAAGGCGCCCCCCCTTGGCAAGCCGAAGATCGACGGCGGTCTCGACCGTGGGGGCTCGGTGGACGTTTGCGACCTGCCCGTCGAGCCATGGAACGCTCGCGGCAACGGGTCCATGAAGTCCGTTGTCGACGTCGTCATTAACGTCGCCGCCGCCGAGATGGCCGCTGTGGGCTGGACCAAGATCGAAGACATTATGACGGAAGTGCGAGGACTTGCCGCCGCCGTTCTGCTTCGGCGACCCTGAGGCAGGGCCCACATGCGCGATTAATCTTGCCGTCGCGCTGAATCTTGCCGTCGCGCAGAGGGTCGCAGACGGACTCCCGATCATTGTGAAGTGGATTCAGTTCATTGGCGGCGAGAAGAGCCAATTCGTGAGGGGCAGCATTATCTGCGGCAACATGCGCGTTTTGGACTGGCGCAAGGACGTGCCAACTCTGCTCGCGCGATGCAGATTCTCTTCGAACGCCTCGGTGGTGTCCAAGCGCGACACTGGGAGTTCGTGAGTGCACCCGCGCCCGGTGTTGGCGGCGGCGACGTCGACGTCGATCAGAAGAGGAAGGAGCTCGCGGAGGGCATCCAGCACGTCGGTGACGAAGCCCCGCGCGCAAATGCTGACTGCGAACAGCGGAGCGGATAGAGTGCGAGCTGGTGGAACCTTGGTCGCCAATTCACAACCTGAGGCGGGAGCTCATCAACGCGGTCCTCGAGGTGCTGCGGGGCCGCGACCACTTCGCCAATGGGCCGGATTACTACCCCATCCTACTCCCAGATGTCCGCGATGAGTGCCAGGGCGCCATGCGGTGCGCCCTGGAGACGCTGGGCACCAACGCCGCCCCGTGCATGGGCGAGGCCGGCTTCGGGAAAACGCCGTTCATGATGGCGATGGCCATGGCCAGCGCCAGGCGCAACGCCGACGCTGAGAACAGGGCGACTGGCCGCGCCGACGCGATGGCCGCTGTGCGGGCGGGGCCCGACGTGGATTTATTTCGCGGTGAAGTCGGGCGGCGCTGGGCCCCTTGCATCTTCGACGACGGTGGCCTGGCTGGGCCGAGGCCGGAGATGTCGTTGAAATCGTGCTTCGATCCCACTCAGGCGGAGGCCATGACGTACGTCAGGTGAGGGGCGGCGAAATTCGTTCGCGGGCAGGCTCGCTTCGGCGGGGGGAACGAATGCGACGCCAGTGCAGCGCCGACAGCTACGCAGTGGGCGCTGGCATCCACGGGCGCCGACGCCGCCCAGAAGACGACCGCCGTCTTGACCGACGTGCTCATGCCGGCGTCCCCGAATAACTTCGCGCCGAGCAATGTCGGCGCAATGCTGAAGCACAGCGCCATGTTCTTGAACGCTCCGACCGACGTGTTCTTCAGGCTCGCTGGTGTCGAGGGCGGCGTGGAGAGGCTTCCGTTGACGGATGGGCACCTCAAGCCCGAGGCGGGCAATGCGCCGCGCTCCTACCTGGCCCGCGGGGTCATGCGCGACCAGGAGGAGTTCGACTGGGTCATGGCATGCGAGAAGAAGATGGTCATGGAGATCATGGCTAGGCGCGGCGTCGAGTACGGCGTCCCCGCGGAGGCCGCGGGCCCAGCGGGGGGGCCAGCCGCGAGCGCTGCCGCGCCGCTGCCGCCGAGCTCGGCCGTGCGGATCTTTCTGGGCGACCAGGGGGGCCATGCGATTGAACGTGCAAGCCGCCCCCCCATGGCGCCCCCGCGCCCGCGTCCAAATCCGCATCTGCGCCGCGCCCCCGCCCCCGTTTGTTTTGCAGCCCCCTGGCGCCGTTCCCCCATGTCGCTTTTTCGCTCCAAGGGATTCGGGGGTGGTGGCGGCTTGCGCGTCCATCCGCCTGGCTCGAGGACGGGGGGGGGCCTATCCAGCTTTGGCGGCTCCATGAGCGGCGAGCGAGTGGAGGTGCCCTTGGCCGCCCCCGCTGCGCCGACGGCGCAGATTAAGCGGGGGCCTTCCAAGATCTTCAGCCGCAACTTGCGCCAGAGCGGCCCCGTCGAGTTGGACCTCTGCAGCCCCTTCCCGTTTATGAAGGTGAAGTTCGAGTCGGGCACCTTCCCGCTGAAGAAGGTGAAGCTCGAGCCGGGCTCTGGCGACGTGGCGGGGAAGGGCGAGCTCGGGGAGAAGCCGCCGAAGCCGCGCAGGCTCTTTGTAATTTCATCGCCAATGTGGCGGATTGGGGTGGGGCTGACAGCCGCGCTATCGCAGTTGGAGAAGACGCGCTCAGAAACTTATCATTTTGACATCCATGCCAGCTGTCGCAAATCACTGGATGAATGCACGTAGCGCGTGATGCCATCAGTTCGGTTGTCTCTCGCTCTCCGTCGTGGCGAGATTGGCATGGCGCCTGCGATCGCGCGCCCTCGTCACCACCCTAAGCACCCATCATGCTTGACGACCAATTGGTCGCGCGAGATGGCCGCCGCCGGCGATGCCCGACGTGGGTGCCAGCGCCTCCATGTGCGGCTTGACGCGGGCGTCGACTCTCGCGTGCCATCGCGAGTGGTGCTCGCTGAAGTGCCGGGTTGCCCCTGTGGCAGGCGCGTTCTCTGCTGCGTGACGAAGTCCGTGTGCGCGTCGCCTCCTTCCTGGTTCCTGTCGAGCCGTCGTGGGCGTGGATTCCACCGGCGGCGCTGGCCCGCGCGGACAACGACCCTGTGTTGCCGTGCGTCTGCTTCTTAGCGAGCATGGCCCGCGGGGCTCCGACCGACCGATTGGCGGCCGCTGCTCTGGCCTGGGGGCGCAGGGAGGGATGAGAGAGACAGAGAGAGAGAGGGACATATATCTATAGAGAGAGAGAGGGAGGGATAGAGAAAGAGAGAGAGAGAGAGAGAGAAACAAATATAATGAGAGAGAGGATAGAGAGAGAGAGAGAGAGAGAGAGAGAGAGAGAGAGAGAGAGAGAGAGAGAGAGAGAGAGAGAGAGAGGCGGGGGAGGGGATGAAGGGCGGGGCGCGAGTGATAGTGAGCCGACGCACCATTAGGGAACTCCTCCACTGGATGCGCCCCGCCGCGCTGGCGGCCAGCTTCCCCGCCGACGCCGCGCCCGCCTCCGCAGGAGGGCGCTCGGCTGCGGATCAAGTGGCGCCTGATGTCTGCATCTACGACGATGGAGGACCCGCCCTCGGAAAGCGCAGCCTGATCGGCTGCCGATCATCCGATCGATCGAGGTGGTCCGAGCGCTGCCTGATCGCCCGTGCCCGCAGGGCGCGCGAGCGGGCATAGGCAGTGTCAGGTCCATCTGCCGCGGTCGATCGAGGCGCCCGTCGGGGCATCTGTCGCCCCCGAGGACGTCGGGGCGAAGATGGCGACGCTCGACGACGCCATCGAAATGCTGAGCCACGTGCGGTCGCGGGCGACGCGGGCGTGAGCTGGGCGCCACTGCTCTCCGCGGATGCGGCGCGGGTTGGGCGGAGGGAGAGGTGAGGGCGGGGGCGGGGGCTCGGGCGTGTGGATGGGGAGGGGGGCGGAGAATCGCATTTCAATTTCGTTGCCAATGCCGGGCATGCGGCATTGGGGGCGGGGTTGGCCGCCAGCAGTCACGGCGTCCCACGCCGATCGCGCGCGGCGTGCTGGAACGCTTCGCCCAATCGTCATCTCCGCCGTCTTCGCTGCCGCCGTCGCCACTGCCATCGCCGTCGTCGCCTTCTAGTCATCCGCTGCTGCTGCCGGGGTCATCGCTGATTGGGGCCAGGGCGTCTGGGGGGAGGGGCCTGGGCGGGCGTCTTCGGCGTCGGGTCCCATCGCCGACCTGTCGGCGATGTGTCGCCGAGCCCGCTTCGTCTTTTCCGTGAGTTCAGGAGGCAGTTCTGCAGGTCGAGTAACTAGCTTTCTTTGGTGCACTGATGTCCGCGTGTCGGGGCGCCCGATCCAAGCCAGACCTGCGCGCGGTGCGTGAATGGTCCAGCACATTCGCGCGCCTGGGGGCAGGGCGCCCCTGCTCGCCCCTGGCCAGGGTCGTCTGCCAGTGCCGCGCCGTGGCGACTTGGCGCGGCTTCCCCGCGCCTAGGCGGGGCAAGGCGCGCGCCGTCCTGGAGACGGGGGAGACGAAGCGGAAAGCCCCGTCGCGCGCGGGGAAGACGCTGGCGAAGAAGCCGGCGTCGAACCAGAGTGCGAGGGAGGTGCCCTACGTGCGGCGCGGCAAGAGAACTTGCGCATCCAGTCCGGAGCGCGCTGCTTCCAAGAGGAGCGCGTTCAATTTCATTCGCGCCAGTGACCGTGAGATCGTCGACATGTTGCTTGAGGACCAGGTCTTGGATAATTCGGATGGCCAGACGTGCTCCTTCTGCGAGAGAGGAATCCTCGGCCCCCCCAAGGGCGTCCAGGGCCGTGGGCCTCGGTGCCGCTGCAACCAGAAGGCCTGCCACAAGTTCTCCTTGCCCCGGGGCGGGCGCGTGGTCTTCAGCAGCGGCTCTGGCGCTGCCGTGGCGCCCTTGCAGGGGCAGTCCGCCGTGCTGTTCGCCGTCGGGGACGACGCGCCCCTCGCCGAGATCCACGGGCTCACGGGCAATGGCCGCAAGGCGATCGAGAGCATGGGCAAGTTCGATGATGCGCGCCGAAAGAATGACGTGCTGCAGCAGGAGAAGCGGGGCGGACGTGGAAAGATGTCGAGGCCGATGAGGTCGACCTAGGGGGCTCTAGTTCTTGACCACGCGGGGCGAGCTGAGAACGAGCGGGTCCAGTGGGGGCAGTGGGGCGGTGTCATCGAAAGAGTCAACCGCGAGACATTGGTTCTGACGCGCCTCGAGCCAGGTCTCACCGAGCAGAGGGCGCCGGGCCCAGGGGCGATGCGCTTGCCTGAGTGGGCGCCGTTCGCTCGCGAGAATTTGAGCAGCGGGGACGTCGTGCTCCGCGCGGGCGGGGCAAACGCGCGCGAGGTCAAGATCGAAGGGGCGCTCCGCGACCGTCGTGCACCAGAGGATAGCGGCCCATGAAGAATGGCATGCCCGCGAACGCGCGCGGCCGCCAGGTGTGGGTGAAACCCGCGCACGCCAAGAAGTTTCAATGTTAATTACCCGGCGGGAGAGTCCTCAAGTGCAAGGGCGGGGCCCGGATCATCGACAGGTTCTAGCAGCAGTTGCGCGGCTTCATCGAGGCCGGGAAGAGTTCGGTGAGCTCGATGTCGTTGAGCGCCGGGGCCCGATCCGCCCAGTGGGCGTACTGGCACGCCAGCGAGGACCCGCGGCTGGACACTGGCAAGATGTTCGGCCGCCTGAGGGGGAATGACACCGCGTAGTGGTGGTTGCTTGTAGAGAGCAGATATTGGGGCGCACGGCAGGGCGCTTATGAGTAGGCGATCTCGTGCGCGCAACCGCAAGCGCATTGCGCAGCGGAGAAATCTCGGAGCTCGCGAAACCTGGCCAGGCGTTTCTCTTGTCTCGGCGCTCAGGAAACCTTGCGAGGCGTGTTGTTCGGTGTTCTATAGTCTGGTGGCTCACGACACCTGGCAGAGCTTTTGTCTGTTTGTTTTCTTTGCTTTGAGAGCCTACAAAATCTGTATTTTTGGTTGTTGTTGTTGTTGTTGTTGTTGTTGTTGTTGTTTGTGTGTGTGTGTGTCTCTCTCTCTTTCCTGGGTCTGGGAGTTCACGGCGCCTGGCTTTTTTTTTGGGGGGGGGTGGGGTGGGGTGGGGTGGGGTTCTTCTCCTTCTGGTCTAGGATCTCAGAACACCTGGCCAGTTTTTTTTTTGGTTGTTGATTGTTTTTTTTTTCCCCTTCTCTACTTCTATATATATATAAAATGTTTTTTTTCCGGGACTGTGACCTCAGGACACCTGGCCAGGCGTTGGTTTGGCCACACACTGTTTTTTTCCGGGTTTGTCTGGTCTGGGTGACCTGGCCAGGCGTTTTTTCCCTTGGTTTTTCTGGTCCTGGAGCTCGCGAAACCTGGCATGGTGATTGTTTGAATTGTACAGCGTCGCCGCCAGGCCGCCAGACCAGAACAACCAAAACATACCAATGACATCGTAGGTTTTCGGAGCTCCCGGACCAGGAATAAAACCAACAACAACAAATGAACACACAGGTTTTCCTTCCTCCCAGGCCAGGAAATCCAGAGAAACCAATGCAATCACGGGTTTTCCTTCTTCCCAAACCAGAAAAGCCAGAAACGCCAACGACATCACAAGTTTCCTTCCTCCCATACCAGAAACACCACGCAAACCAAGGACATCGCGTGTTGTCCTTCCTCCCAGACTTCTGTCCGAGTGCTTTCTGCAAGGTTGTAGTGGTAGTTCTCTCGCTTTTGCGCAGCGTTGCGCCAGCGAGGAAGTGGCGCTGAAGAGGCGAGGACTGACAGGCAACTTGAAGTTTTGTTTCCCCCTTTCTCCTTTCGGGGGGAAAAATTTTGATATGTATATATACATATGCATGCATGCATGTGTGTGTATCATGCATGCATGTATGCATACGTGTATGTGTTTATGTTTGCATGCATGATTGTGTGTGTGCTTGGCTGCGTGCACCTATGTATCAACGTATCGAGCTATGCAAACATGTTTGTATGTAAGCATGTATGTACGTAGGTATGTCGATAAGTATGTATGCATGTATGTATGTCTTCAGGCTTCTACTTATGCGCGTATGTGTGTATGCATGCATGCATGTGGTATGTATGTATGCATGTATGTATTTGTGTGTGCATGCAGGCATGCATGCATACATGTACGGATGCACGTAACTATAGGTAATATTGAGCACATGTATGTATGTATGTCTGCCGGTTTGCTTGCCTGCCTGTCTGTCTGCTTGTATGTATGTATGTATGTTCGTACGTATTTATGCACGTATGCACGTGTGTACGTATCTACATGTGTACGTACGTCTGTATGTGTATATATATATATATATGTTTTTTCCAACTAGGCTTGCATTGTAGGGGTCCTAGCTCAGCAGAAATCATTGATCTTAGCCCCCCGTTTTTTCCAATGGCGCCTCCCCTTCTTCCAATGTCGCTTAATTGCTTGCTCTTGCGTGCTCGCTTTCGCTTGCTTGCTCTTGCTTACCCTTGTTTTCTTGAACTTGATCGCCGGCTTTTGCTTGCTTATTTTTGCTTGCTTGCGCTTGCTTGCTTCCGCTTGTTTGCTTGCGCTTGTTTGATTTTGCTCTTCCCGTTCTCCTCCCGTCCTGGTCCCGTCCTCCTTTCGTCCTCCTCCCATCCTCCTCTCGTCCTCCTCCTGTCCTCCTATCTCTTAGGAGTCAACGCTGGCTGATATTCTGGATTGATGGATGGATGCATGTATGTATGTAGGCATGTTTGTTTGTATGTATGTGCGTACGCACGTATGTACAATTCATGGTCGCCCCAAACCCCATACCCAACCCTTTAAACATGTTGTTATTGCTGTTTGTGGCGGCCATCTGAAACATATTTTTTCACAAAGCTCTTTTCTGCTGCGGGTTGTCTCTGATTGTTAAGGTGTTCCTTGTGTTTTGATAGGTTGTCATGTTTTTATTGTTTCCTGGTCCTTGCCCCCCCCTGCTCAGATGAGGCGTCTCTCTGGGGGGGGAGAGGTGACGGCGGCGCTGGGGGCGAGGACGCCAAAAACCAAACAAAAACAAAACAATCAACCAAACCCAACGAACGACGTAAAAAAACAGGGTCGTCTTCGCCGACATTTTTGCGTAAGTTGCCCGCGTAAGGTCTCGCGCCCTTGTTTCCAGTGAAGCATGCCGCGCCGGCGTCCTGCGTAAGCCACCGCGTAAGGTCGCTATGCCATCTCGTTTAAGACCCGTTTTTGATCGTCGTTCAAATGGGAAACCAGGAGAATCAGAGCCCCCAGACAAACAAATCAACGAAATCAATGCCTGACCCACAGGGCTCCAAGACCGCCCAAGAGGGCCCCAACACGGCCTGAGAGGGCCCCACAAGGCCCCCAAGGGGGCCTCCAGTAGAGCTCCAAGACGGGTAAAGCCCGGCAAGACAGCCTAGAAGGGCCTCAAGACGGCTTAAGAGGGCTGGAGAACTGTTCCCAAGAGGCCCTAAGAGGATCTCCACGAAGGCCCAAAGAGGCTCAGCACGTGCTTTTCCGAGGTGTCCAGAAGGCTTGCCAGAAGCCTCCAAGTGCGCTTGCTCTGGTGTTCGGATGTGGTGGTAGGGTGTTAGTACTTTGGATTTATGGTTTTCCAGTTTTGGTGTTAGGTTTCGGATGTTCGGGTCAGGGTGCTCGGGCTGGGGTGTTCGGGCTTCTGTGGTTGAGTTCGAGTCGGGACTTCAGGGTTAACGTTTATGCTACGGTGTTAGAGTTCCGGCGTTCAGGTTTGGATGTTCGGCCCCGCAAGAGCCCCAAAATGCCCCCCAAGAGGGCTCCAGATGTCAACATTAACGGATTCTCGTGTAGTTTTTTGATGCATCTCAACGTGTTCGCGCTTTTCATGACGAAAATGGCTTCTCAGGAGGCCCCAGAACGGCCCAATAAGGCCTCCAGAGTGCCCAGAAGGCTCTGCAAGACGCCTCAAGGTAACTTAAAGAATGACAAACCGAATTGACATTTTGAGCCCTACCCCGAAAGATGGTCCTGGACACTGCCACGGAGTCCCCAAGACGCCATCAAGGTCCCCAGAAACCCCCAAGAGACCCCCATGACGCCCTCAATGCTCCCAAAACGCTCCCATGAGCCCCCTCCCGGAAGCCTCACAAGCTCTATCATTCCTATGAGCTTGATGCGCCATATGACCCTGTATTCCGACCGACCTCGTGAACCTCACAATCTCTACAAAGCCCATGATCCTGATGACCCCTTATGAGCCCTTCGACACCTACGAACCCAATGAGCCATACGAGCCCCATGAGCCTTATGAGGCTTATGAGCCCTACGCGCCCTCCAGGAGTCCCCTGTGAGCCCTATGAGCCCCACCAGCCCTATGAGCCCATGAGTCCAATGAGCTCCTGAGCCCTACGACACCTACGAGCCCGACGACCCTGACGATCCCTACGGGTCCTACGAATCCTACGACCCCTGTCAGCGATACGAGCCCTCAGTCTCAGCCTCAGCCCCATTTGCCCACCTCTATGCCCCACATAAGCTCACGAGGCCAAAGCGCCCTATGACCATATACTACTCACGACATCATGCGCCTTCAAACTACGAGCCCCATGATCCTGATGAACTCAAGAGCCTTTCGACCCCTCCAAGCCCTATCACCCCTACGGACACTCTGAGTCCCATGAGTCCTGTGTGCCCTCCAAGAGGCACCCCAGACACCTCCCCCAGCTCACGAGCGACCTTTCTCAAATGCGTCCAGTGGACGCGGCAACATCAGCTCACATGAGCTCGATGGGTCCGTCGAGCCCTGCGAGCACATCGACGTCCTCGGTGCCGCGAACCTTATGGCCCCTATGAGCCTCAATGGCAACTATGAGCCCCATGAGCCCTATGGCCTCTACGAGTCCTATGAGACCTATGCGCCCTATGGCCCCTCTGAACCCCATAAGCCCTATGACCCCAATGGGTCGTGCGAGCCGCATGACCCCGATTGGCCCTATAAGCCCTATGAGCTTTGTGGGCCCTCTGAGCCCTATGTCGCCTGCGAGCCTGTAACCTTATATGCCCTCTGATCCATGTGAGCCCGACGAGCCTCATGGGCCCTACGAGCCAACTGAGCCCTGTAAGCCCCATGTCCCCATGTCGCCTCTGAGCCTCATAAGCCCTTAGAGCCCTCAGGGCTCTATTAACCCCACGGGCCGCATGGCCCCAATGATCCTTCGCAACCTCATGAGCTGAATGAGCCCCATGGGCCTTATGCGCCCTACGATCCCCACGACCCGTTATGAATCCTGTGAGCCTTATGAGTTCAGTGTGCACAATGACCCCTATGAGCCACATGAGCCTCATAAGCTGGATGAGCCCGCCCGCTATGGGGCCCAAGAGCCCGTTACTTC